TAATTGAAAAAAACTGAGATATTGAAAACATTCGAATTTGGGAATTTGTTAAAAAGGGAAACCCAACTTCGACTAATTCGATTGCTTCGATTTATGCATGGACAAGAGGTTTAGCATTCAGAGGGAAATTAGATTCCAATGAAGCTTTGATTAGCTTTGCTAAAACGTTGGAAGAATGTTGTGTAGAATCTGTTGATCGTGATGAGGTGATGACGAAAGATTTGGCGATTGCTATTTGGGGTAAAGAGATTGATTCATCTAAATATGTAACTACGTAAGTGGATCAGTCGAAAACAAAAAATCTCATTTGATCTATTTATTGATTGATTTGAATCGGTTGGATGTGATTTTTTTTTTCGTGGGTTTGACGATTGATGTGATGTTTTTTTTTGGTTTTTTTTGGGTTTTGATTTGGAAACTTCTAGTGAAGGGTTCTTGGATCATGTTAGACAGAAATTAGAATCCAAATTAAAGTCTGATAAACAAGGATCTAATTCTTTGAAATTATGAAACCACATACCAATCCAAAACACGTAAGTCAATCTACTTACTAATGAAAACAAACGTCTAAAGGGAATTGATCTAGATAAGATCTTTTTGAAAATTGATCAGGACGGTATTCTATATTTGCTCAATATATATATATATATATATAAATGATTTCAATCAACACGCTTATATTTACGAACTTGAGATTTCTTTTAAGGATTAGTGTTACTCAAAGAAGAAAAACTTATTAGTATCAATGTAATTTCAAACGTCTTTTGAGTTTTTGTTTTTTGTTTTATGCATCAGTTTAGCATTATAAGTTGAATCTTTTTTTGGAATTTTATGCATTTTTTTATAATGATCATCAAACAATTGAATGATCAGATTCCTTTTTTTGCCTTCTTTTTTTGAAATGTATATTTCTGAGAATCCAGTTTAGATTTGTTGAGTTTCCATCTATAAATAAATAGAGATATAGTTTAATGATTTGAAGAAAGAGATTATCAAGATAGATTTAACGGATTATATATCTCTTGAAATAAAAATGAATCAAACTCAATGAGAAGGTAATATGGTTAATCTAGGATTGGATTACTACTATGTACCAAGTCTTCAAGATACACTCATCATTCATCATTCAAGAATCAAAGAGGTCTCTGAAACAAATCACAATAGATGTTGATAACTGAACCAGAAATCTTCAGAATACTGAATTCATTTTGATGCTTATATAGGCTACAAGATGTACTGAAGGAAGTTCTTGAGACTTGGAATCAGCTCACATTACAAGTCTTTTTTCAAGATTCAGTTAACCCAACATTCATGTAAATATCTTTTTTTAACCTCATCTACAGTCAATCCAAAATAGCTTGGCCCGCCGAGTTTTTGTAAAATAATATTTTGCCAATACAGGCAAAAATATAAGCATAGCCTTCAATCAAGATGAGTGAGATCTCGATTGAATTTGGCCACTGACCAGTTGACCACTCTCGACTCCATACCCTTCATACCCTCCATCCCACCACGACTATACCCTCGATCCCACCACAACTATCCCAAAAATCTATTCCAAATCCATGATGGTCAAAAGACCTACCAAAAAACAACTCCTCTTAGAAGCTGAACAGAAAAGACGTGAAGAACTGTGAGTATTCAAAAACTGTTTCTTATCGATAATGATTCACTGACCAATGGTTTCTTTAGTGCGATTTGCCAAGCAAGACAAGCTGGACCTGAAGGCCTTAGCCCTGAACGTGGTAGGGAAGGTACCCCTTATCAAATGTTCAAGTAAGCTTTCTTTGATTCAATTTCACTCGATCGAAGTTGTTTGATAGATCTTTACCTTTGATTTCTCTCCACAGGCGTGGCCATCATTTTGAAGACGTTACCGGCGGCCCACGTCAATATCAAGATAACAAATTGATCCATTTGGATCCGAAACGCGAACCAGGCTTCCAGGAATTTGAGTGTTGACTTCGTGGACCGCCGCCAGGTGAGTACACTCAATCCATCTCGAAATCTCTCATCTTGCCTTCTTACTCTCATTCTTTTCTCTGTCCATTATTCAAAACTTTTAGTTCCAGCCCCACCAATGTCTCTCAATGACCATATTGATCAGGCTCTCTGAGACCCAATGCTTGAGAATCACGACATTCAAGTTCAACCTCGAGCTGTGACTGGTAAGTTCCAGCTTTCATCATCATGTTCAAACCATATTTCGTCTATTTGACTCATGTGATTCTGATTCAGAACCACATGTTGACATCGACTTAACTGTTACACCACCGCCACGATACCCTGAAGCGGCCGTTCAAGATAGCTTGGAAGCTGACAAGGCTAAACCAAGCCTCGTGAAGCTATGGTTCCACGTCTATACTCCAATCCCAAAGACCAAGGCTGAAAAACAAGCCGGAACCACCCAGAAGTACATCAATCTCACGAGTGAGCCAGCTTTCGACTCCGTCATTCAAATCCACGGAGCTTCACTTGTCAATTTCAAAGAGGCCGTCTTCGATGCTTGTGCTGAAGTCAAAGCGGTATGCGGATCACTTCTCAGAGAGGCTGATCTAGCTGGTAAGTTGGCATTCAAAGGCTATGTGGCTGGCCGTGGACCGTTTCTCAAGTCGGCCTTGAAATTTATTGCATTGGAGGTGGTCCTTGACCAGTTCAAGGAAACCATGAAGGACAACAAGGGTAAAGAAGTTGGTTTTAAGCTGTTCATTGATAATCCAAAGACTGCCAATTGTCTCAAATCAAAGGTAAGTTAGTTTTTTACTTTTCAATTCCTTTTCTGAAATCTCATTTGCTGATGATGTTCTTTTTCCAAAAACACTGCACAGGAGGACACTTTTGATCGAGCCACACTTGACAGTCATCCAAACTCATTAGCTCCTCATCGAATTGACGAATTAGAAATGCACGTAAGTATTGAGTTCATCTTGGCCTCATCATAAAACTTTACTGATCCCTCTTTGATTACAGGATATTGATGTTAATCCAGAATGGCAGCGTATCCGAGTTAAGCTCATGCAGGACTATGGATGCGTCTCAATCGGAGGTCGGGAGTGTATGGGACTTATCAAACCGGAAAATACCAACAAGGCAGTCCACTTGAGCCATTCGACGATGGATACTTGGGCAACTGCATTGGTAAGTCACTCCATATTTCCATATTTCTGTCATGTCAATTGTCTTTTATTGACTTTTCCTTTTTTGAACCAGTTCAAACGCAAAGCTGGAGTTACCGAGATGACTCCACCCAAGCTACCTGAATTCTGATTTCTCTGTATACTAGATCAACCTCATCGATGTTCAATTGCCACTGCCGATACCATTCAATCTACTTCGGGTACCATTCAATCTACTTTGCAAATGCCAGACACTCGTACGGAGTCACCAGTGCCAGGTCCTCTTCCGCCTTTGGAAGAGTTCCTTGATCGGGCCAAGATTTCACCAAACAATGAAAACACCTGTGCCCTTCTCAAGAAGCTCGACATCATCGATTATGAAGCGTTACTTTCGCCCTCTTTAGATGTTCCAACCCTTGCTGGGTTGGGATTTGCTTTTGAAGCTGCAGTACGTTTACACAACCAAGCCCCATTATATCGAGCTGAACTCAAGAAACGCAAGAATCCCGGCTTCTGGGATTAATTCAATCAAAAAAGATTGAAATTTGTAACAAATTTTATTGTAGCAAGCACTTGTCATCCTTGTAGCTTAGCAGATATTGTATTCATTATTAACCCCCGTAAAAGACCAACTGTTTGACTGTTACTGCTGAAATGAAATCTTATGTATGAACCTGTGAAAACCCGGTCTATAAGACCATTAGCCTTTTTCCATAGTGAGATTTTTTAAAAGAACACTTGAGTGAAATTGAAGCCTTATTGAGGTGACTCTTTCATATGGGTTCATTCAAATTGTATTCAACTTTTATCTCAACACACTTTTGGCTATCCTGATTCTCAACTTCATCATCTCACAATTGATGGAAATGAGCAACTTTTTGAGAAACAAGATGATCAATTCTATGGAGATTCATAAAACTGATTACAGAAGTTTCTCAATCAATCCTAAAATATCTTCTTTGTTGAAATGTGCAGTTCAACTTTGGTTACTTTAAACTCTGAGACTCGATTAGGAAAATTGCACGTGAGCTCAGAGATAAGCTCTTCAAGAAGTGGGAATTCTGGCTCATTTTTGATCAACATATTCAAACAAATAATGATGGGTATGGAAACCCTTTTGATTACTCAGGACAGATATAGAGAATTGTTTTTGTGAGACGATACATGACTTCTCTCTTTAGGATTGAGATGAGAAAATACAATCAAAACCTTCTTCATAGAATGAAACATTTTGAGCTTCTCCAGATCGTATCAATAATACCCACATGTCCCATAAAGTTTCTCGATCAGGCTACTTGTGGACACTTCACTCATAATCACCATCAAACATCGCAGCTTATTAATTGCATCCTCTAGAGTCTGATTTCTTCTGAGTCGATCTTTGAAGACCTTGAAAATTCATTCGATTGGGTTAAAGTCCGGTGAGTACGGTGGTAGATAATGGACAAGGATGCCCAATGAGTTGCACAGACGTTCAATTGATCCACCATGATGGATGGTGCAATTGTCTAGCACCAATACCGAGTTACGAGCTGGGTATCTATTCATGACAGGCAGCTGGAAGTGGTATGGATGAATTGAAAAACAGTCAGCTTCATTGGATGTGTAAAAGAATAGAAGAAAGGAAGCCGATAAACCTACCAATATGTGCTTGAGGAATGCTTCAAAATCCTTTTGAAGGTATGCATTGAATTTTGAATGTACTGCGAGCAACCCCATTTTGCATATGGCTGCAAGCATGCTGTAATGGGGTCTGCATCGTTTTTGCTTCAACTTTGCTGGTCGTTCACCTTTCTTCGATCTGACTTTGTTTCGCATGACCTCTAGTGATGTTAGACCGATCTCGTCTGAAAGAGAAAAGTAAGTCAGTTAACAACTTATTCAATGAAGATATGACTAAGAAATTGAACTTACCCAGGAAGACGAGGCATTTGGGATCAACATTAGCAATCTGGATGGAATAAGCTGCCCGATGTTCCGCGGATTGGTTGGGATCAACCTTTGAAACCGTGTGAACCGTTAAGAATAGCCGTTCTTTCAAATCGTTTGCGATAGTCTGGCGACATGCGAGTAGATCAGTGTGATCATACATTGCCTCTTGAACTTCATCCAGGAAAAGGGTCGGATCGTCTTCGATAAGCTCGACCATGAACTTGCGGTCTTCCTTAGAGTACAAAGTCGGACGGCCTCGTCTCTTGTAGGTCATGGTGTTTCTGATGACACAGTGAGTGAGTTTGTAAAGATTCCTCCATTGTCTGAAGGACTTGGCAGAAATATTGGTGAGAAGCTTGTTGTTGATTGCTGAAATGGATTGTCCTAGAAGCCATTTGTTGAGGGCAATGACTTTGAGTTGAGGGCTGTATTTGACAAATGGCATAGTGTAGTGGATTGTAATCTGACGAATGTGAAAGAATGGGGAAGATCGATGATGTTTTAGGCAATGAGGATGGTTAAGTGTAGCTCAATAGCGGTCAACTGGCCAGTGGCCAAATTCAATCGAGATCTCACTCATCTTGATTGAAGGCTCAATACAAGCATATTTCGGCCTGTATTCAGCAAAATATTATTTTACAAAAACTCGGCGGGCCAAGCTATTTTGGATTGACTGTAAATCTTTTAAACCTCAACTACAGCTGTTCCAACAAAGATTGATTTTTTTGGAAATCTTGCCAATGTGCAAAACCCGGGTTTTGTCCCTCACTTGATTTTGTCTCTCCGCTAATTGGAAGAATACAGGAAATAATAAACCTGTAATCAAGTTTTGTCTTTGGTTTCAGCCGCTGCGGAGACAACTTTCTCCAAAAAAAAGTTGTCAACCTTTCTTGGAACGGCTGTACAAACTTCATCTGATCCTCAACCAAACTCAAAAAATACTGTTTTTATCCATATACAATATATACATTTAGAATTTCCTTGGTAAATAAAATCATTTTGATTTTGACAAAAACCAGAATTAAATCAAACTCACTACACTACAACTACTTATTTTACTTCATTTAAATTCACATAAATAACGCGTATAAAAGGTTGATTTCTTACTAAAAATTGTTAAAATCAACCAATTTTGGATTTTTTTATTTTTGAAAAAAAGTAAAAAAAAAAAAACTTCCCAAAAAAAAAAGGAGAAAAAAAAGGAATGTGTTAATAATGATGATGATTTGGCTTCTTTTATGAAAAAAAAAATGTGTAGTTAGAGATCAAAAAAAAAGAAGGAAAAAAAACTTTTTGTTTGCTTTTGTATACAATTTTTTTGCAAATAAATTAAATGATTTTGGTGTTTGAATTACATACATTCAAAGAACTAAACAAAAAAAATGATGATGAAGAAGTGATGTCAATGAGGATGTTTTTATACAAGAAGAATCGTCAAATTGAAGCAAAGAGAGAGAAGAGAGATAAAACGAGAAAAAGCAAAGAGAAAAAATGAATAGATCTGGGTTAGGTATATCAATGATGAAATCAAAACCCGAAAGCCAGATAAAGAAAAAGAAGAGAAAGACGAATTCTTGGTAAACCTCAATCGATTTCCAAAGCCAATTCTTCTTGTTCAGTTCTCAACTTACTCAAAGGAAACTGACCCATTACCATCCTCTCAACTGAATTAATCTTCAACCGATCTTCAAAACTAAACCCATCACTAATCTGACACATCTCCATTCGATCATTCAAATTCTTTTGACCAACCATCATCTGTTGAATACTTTTAAATCCATTCAACTCTCGTGGAATCAATCCACTGGCTTGAGTACAACAAGTCTTAATCCAAAGTCCCGTAAGGTTTGGTAACCGATGAACCGAACCAACTGAACTGATGATCGTCCCTTTTTCTAAATCGAAAGATGGAAACCTTTCCACTTTACTTGATTTTCGTTTTTCTTCTCTTTTATTAAGATTCAAGTCTAGAGTAGAATTCGGTTTTGAAAGTGGGATAGATGTGATGAATGAAGTTGGGGGTTGGATTGTAGTTGATTTAGCTCGGGCTTTTTTGGTTAGTTTTTTTAATACTCGAGGGTGGTTAGATGACTTGATGGTTGATGGAAGAAGTGGGTCACAATCAGTCCCGATTGGAGTTTTGTCTTGCTTCTTTTTCTTCGAAGGTCGAACGGTTGTCTCTATCAT